TAAATGCGAAATGCCAAATCGTTTGAATATTCCTTCTCTCTGTTCGTTTTAATAAACAACGTATCATTCTTGCATAAGAGTCTTGCATAACAATCAAAAAAGAAAATCAATTCTTTTCAATAAAAAAATTGAAAGAAAATTGTAAAATAACAATGTGATTATTAATTAAATCGTTAATTAATTTCAATAGGAGCTTTAGTGATACATCAATTTCGTCCCATTTTTTCATCCTCTTTCGAATACTTACACCTCAGAAATATTTTCAATCTTATCTATTATAGATCAAGAATATTTATTAATTTAATAGAATATAAAAGTATAAAATTTACGCGAATTTTCTTCTAAAATTAATTATTAGACGTACAGATAAATCTATCACACTAAAACAGAGACAATACCCATACAAATAAACATATTAAAAAAAAATGAAAATAATGGTTATTATACAGATGCTTATTATTTTTAAAGTATCATATAGAATAATCATTGATATAATACAAAAAATGCCCTTTGCAATCATACATATATTCTATAAAAAATCATGTGTATGTAAAATAAGATTACGTAGATTCAGCTTTCAATTTTCATATAATAAAAGCGCATTATTATCAAATTAAAATACAGTCATTTATTCCAATAAGTACTAGTAAAGAGTTAGTTTTTATCAGACATAGATCACGTCTAACGCGAACTAGAACATTCCTTATCAGTGCTCCAAAAACGATGTCGTCAATCTAACAACAGAAAGCAGTACTACAAGTACTCAAAAATGCTGGCTTTACCTATTAAGAATATTTACTTTAAACGAATAATATGGAAAACATGTGCTTCTATTAATCCCTTACCTTCCTTAAGAATAATATTCAATTTTTCTTCCGAACAATAGAAAAGTGAGAAATCAATTTTTTGTCATAATTAACAAATACCGAAAACACCTGAATATGTCAATTGTAAGCCGCGTATAATCATTGGATTAAATCCATTAATCGTTATATTGATATAATTTTAGTATTCTTTATATTATTATTTTAAAAACGTAATAATACTTTCCAAACAGACATTTTCTAATTCTCATTGTCATCGCGAAGGGTGACAAGCATCGTATTTTATAGAAATAAGATAAACATGTAATCATACAATAAATGTTATTGGGCAAATTGTGGTATAAATAAAGTATCAGAACTCTTGTATGATAATAAGAAAAAAAAATTGTTGATTCTATTTAGGTGACTTTAATTATGATAATTATGATAATAAATCTATTAATAAATATTATATTTCATGATTCATGACTACTACTTCATGATTACTTTATAAATTGACCACAAATAACAATATTTTTCAAATGTCATTAATTTCATTCGACATTAAACTTCAATAATCTTTATTAATAAAATTTATATAATAAAAACAATTAAATCGTCGATTTATATTAGACTATCAATAAAAAATATTTTTTATTTGAATGTGTGTATTATAAATACTAGTTACTCTCGTAAGATGGCTAATGAAATTAATATTGGCACTTTAACCGGTCTAATTGTGTAAAATTGTGATCGTAATAATTAAAATATTTGATTAAATATTATAGCACTTGGGGTTAATTGATTTTTAAACCATCATAAATGTTTATATTTCCATCGTACCGAGCATCAAACCGATCAACAATCTACCAATAATAATATGCATTATTTATTACGTAAACATTATAGTTTAGTGTGAAATTTAAAGTATGACCATTTGGATTGATAAAAGCTCCAATGATGCACTATATTATTACAATTATTATATAATATTTTAAATGGCTTGAAATAAATATATTTAAAATCTTTATAATGAGTACAATATTTTGTTAATCTTTACACACACACACACACACACACACACACACACACACACACACATATATATTAAAATTTATATTAATAAATAAAATAAACTTTTTTTTTTATTGTATATTTATTTTTTATTTTGTTAACTGTAAAAGAACTTATTGCATACATCGGTATAATGTTATTATTATGAGCTTATGAAATTAAATGTAACATACATATATCAACAATTATTCTATAATTTTATATATTAGTGAATGAATTAGAAACACAAGAGCAAAAATATAAAAAAAAATGCAATAATATTATTAATTAATGATTCACGAATGAAAAAAGAAATGTAAATTTAAAATGAAATACATTTTTTACATATACATTTTAGTCTTGATTAAAAACTCTATTATTTTTCATTTTTTTTTCTTTTTGTTAATACTATTTATCTTTAAATATATGTATTTTTTGAACCCGTGACGTGTGAATAAAACTGTGGATTTCAGAAAGATACATTGAAAGTTAAAATTAATATTGTACATACGAAAATATTTATATAAAGCTTAAAGAATTAAATTGTGAGTTTGAATTATTTACAGGTGGAATCAATAAATATTAATAATGAAGGAGGTGTATTATCATTTTGAAATTTGTGATAAATGCCTTTTGTAAAGACGTCGCGAATGTTTGTCAAGAAAATTGTTGGAAAAACAGCATTAATTTGTAATATTATGTTAATTCTCGTATCTATTACAATATCAAAGATGTTTATAGTATAAAAGAAGCTTCGAGCAAGTAAATATAAAAAGCTTCAAGAAAGTAAACAAAGTTTAAATTTAAATATAACGTAATAAGAAACGCATCGTCAATGTAAAATGAATTTTCTTCGGAGCTAACAATGAGTTACGTAATTATTAGCTCTCGCACCGAGAAACATTATTTATAAGCATAAAGAAAAATCTCCAATCGCATTTACAAGCTGCTTTTTTCAAGTTAGAAAATAAGCGAGATTTCCAAAAGTTAAGACGTATTAAAGTTCTATTGTGACGTCACGCGGTTACGTCTGCCTATGTTACGAAATAACCGGGACAGTCCCTTCCTACTACAACGGATCTTCACCGATTCGTTCTTTAAAGGCGTCGAGGAACGGATGCGAATGAAAGTAGGCCATGCCCCATTAAAAAGCGTGCAACGATAAAAAAGATCGGTAGTTCGCGTATATTACCTCACGCCTCTTTACCGATTACCACTACCAGCGCCTCGTCAGCTCGCGAGAAAATTGCTCTCGATTTTCCAGTCGAAAATGTACACTTGCCGCACCGACGAAATCCAGGTGAATATGTGCCTAAAGAGTACGTGTTCGGCATCGCGTTCGGGCGAACAACCCTTTCACCGGGCTACTCTCTCTCTCTATCGCATCATGGCTATCCTTCTATTTCTCTCCTTTCCTCTCTTTCACTATACTAGCGCAGCGCGCACCAAACCACCTGGTCTTAGCTACGGCTAAATATCCAGAAAGAGAAAGAGAGCGAGAGTGATCGGGCGATGGCGAGAGAACGAGAGGGGAACGGGAATATAAAGTGGCAGAGTGAGTGAGACGCGATTAGCTCTCAACTCTACCACCGCCATCTCCTCCGTATGGCCACTACCACCTTCATCGTAGTCACCACCTCCACTCTACTCTCTCCCTTCCTTCGCCTCGCACTCATTCGTTCATTCACAACTCTCTCACTCACTCTCCCTCGCTCTATTTTCATCTCTCTTTCGCTTTCTCTCTCACTCACTCTTTCACTTTCTCTCTTTCTTTCTCTATCCTACTCACTCTCTCTCTATCTTATTCAACTCTATCGTCTTGCCGTAGCGACAGCAACAACAGCAGCTAGCACGCGCCTTCTCTTTTTCCCTCTCTCTTTCTCCTCGCTCGCTCGTGCTCACCTACCTAGGACACTTGGCGCGCGCGAGCGGTGGATAAAGAGCGACATAGCGAGTCAGAGAGCCAGAGAGCGAGAGAGTGAGTGGGAGTCCCTCCCCCCTTCACCAGTTATTTTTCTCTCTTTACCCCACTCTCTTTAGTTTGCCCTCTCTAACCATCTCTCACTCTCTCTAACTCACTGTTCCCGGTGCGTGGCTTTGCGCAAAAGTTACGACGGAGCGGAGAAACATAGTGAGACGGAGTGCGGAGACCGGAAGAGATCTTACTCTCTCTCTTTCTCATTCTCTCTCTCTCTCGTTCCCGCTAGAGCTCGCTGGCTCGCTCGCTCTAGTGCGCCTCCGAAAGAGCGGAGCCGAGCACGGCAGACCTCGTGGAGAGAGGCGAGCAGACAGTGCGCGCGCGCCCCACGACGACGATGCATCGATGCCGATAATACGGCAGCGCGGGGACAGCCGTAATAAGAGATAGCGAGTGTACGGGGAGTAGTGTCGAGGTAATCGTGGCAGTCGGGTGATATTGACGAGATAGCCGAGACGACAGCCTACGACAACAAGGACGACGTGGACGACGTGGACGACGAGGACGACGTCGACGACTACAATAAGCCGTCTAGGACGTCTACATTGACAACGTTGATTACATCGACTACGACGATAAAAACGACGACGACGACGACGACGACGACGACGACGAGGAGAAGGAGGAGGAGGTGGTGGAGGACGAGCCGTCACATTCTGGGGTGGAGAACGGAAGAGGACTGTAACGTCGTCGGAGACTCAGTGAGCGCGCGCGCGCGCCGGACAATTCAAAGTTTCGCGCTCGTCGAGGGAGCGCGAAGAAAGCGAGAGCGGAGGAGAATCGGAGCACGCGACGGCGCGCCGCAACGGATTGCGCGCCTCGCTCACTCACTCTCGCTCGCTCCCAGCTCCGGTTGTGTAAGAGCTTGAAAGTAAAAGTTGAAACCGCCGAGTTCGGCGGTGCCCCGCGCGCGCGCGTTAAAATTCGATCCGGCAGAGGCCGGCCGAGTGTCTTGAGGCCCCGGGGAGTAGTAGTCGCTAAGAGCTGAAACCTCGGAGGAGTCGTCGGCGCGCTGCGCTCGCCACGAAGGAGCCGAGCTGAGTCGAGCTGCAGCAACGGCTACGGCAATAGCAGCGACAACGGCAAGTCGACAACAGTAACAGCAGCAGCAACAGCAGTAGCGGCAGCGGCGGCGGCGGCGGTGGTGGCGGTGGTGGCGGTGGCGGCAGCGGTGGCGGAGACGGCTGCAGCGACGGCAGCAGAAGCAGCAGAAACAGCACCAGCAGCAACAACAGTAACAGCAGTAACAGCACCATACGTAAACATAATATAGACGGGGCCTGTGTGCGCGCTCTTTTTCGTACGGCAGTGAAACGGAAAGTGATTCGGGTCAGTGGGTCGAGGGAAGCTCCCCGAGGCGCGCGCTCGCGTGCGCGCGTTACGGGAAGACGCGGTGCAAGAAGAGCCGGGAGGGGGGAGAGCGGGAGAGTTAAAAAAGAATTACGCACCAGAGAGAGAGAGAGAGAAAGGGTTGGAGATGAAAAAGTTTAATACGGGTATCACGAAGGAAAAGTGATGAAGAGCCGATATAACGATATTAGGGTGTACAGAGAGGGAGAGAGAGAGAGAGAGAGAGGGAGAGAGAGAGGGAATGAGAGAGAGAGAGAGAGAGAGAGTGTGAGTGAACGAGTGTGTGCGGGAGGGCGGGAGGGAGAGGAGCGAAGAGAGACTTGCGTAACCCTGTCGTTCGCAAGAGAGCCGACCTCTCACTCTTTCACTCTCGCTCTCGCTCTCGCGGGCTTTCGCGCGACCAGTGAATAAGCGTGTTCTTTTTATAATTGCATGAGCCAGGCGAAGAATAAAGGGAAAACGGGGAGGAAGGAGGCGAAACGACCAAGTGCCAGTGATAAAAAAGAAGCATCGAGAGGCTGTTGTTGTGAATTATATTATTGTATATGTAAATGCAGTGCAAAGGAAATAAGGCGAGATAAGGAAATATCTACGCTACACGCTACACACACGAGCATATATACCATAGTTATATATTTACATGCATACGTGCACGCATATGCGCATACGTATAAACAATAGTAGCAATAATAGCAGGAGTAGTGGCCATAGTAGAAGTAGTAAGAGTATCGGTAGGTGTGGTGGAAGTGGTACCCATAGTAGTAGCAGTTTCAATTATTAATAACAATAATAGGAATTAGTAATAGCTATAAAAGCAGGAACGATAATAGCCGTAATAAGAATATTATACGGTGCACCTACACGCTTGTGTATGCATTTATATATGCATGCATGCGTGCGTATATATATATATACACATATATATATGTGTGGGCGTGTGTGTGTATATATGCGTATGGATATATATATATGCATTAGCATATATATATATATTCACGCGTGTGCGTGTGCCCGGGCGTATAAATAAATATATGTGTGCGCGCGTAAAACGTATGTTTCTGTGTGTGTTTGTGAGTATAGATTTATATGCATATATAAGAGTCGGCGTCGTTTTACTTACTCGCGGCGAGCGCGCGGCTCTCGGCGTTTCGTAAAAGGCGGATTACAAAACGGCGAGCGCGCGAGTAAGCGCGAGGCAACCTCAACACAGGCGCACGCGCGCGCATACGTACATAGAAAAGTACGTACGTAGAAATACGTAGAAGTGCGAGGAGAGGGTCGCGGGAGAGCGGAGAAAGAGCCGTGGACGGGTGGCGAAAGGTGCGCAAGGAGGCTGAGCAAGAGAGAGAAGAGAAGGGGGGAGGCCCGGTCGAAGGACGTGGAGCCAGGGGCGAGGAGGCAGGAGGAAAACCGCGAGCGAGGGAGCAAAGAAAAAGGGGAGCGGGAAAGCCGCGCGCCCGAAGGATAAAGAGAAAGGATCTGGCCGAGGGCCGCGGGCCCGACTGACCCTGGACCTACTTCTCCGCCTCTTTCTTCGCGGTGGCGATGTTGGCCAGCTGACGAGACCCTCCCCCGCTGACCATCCCCAGGACCACCCTCCAGGCCCCGTATATCCGCGGTGATGTCGCGATATGGGACCGTGATCGCTACGCGCGGGTGATGGCTACAACCGATTTTCGTCCATCTCAACCTCCCTTCACTCCGCCCCCCCCCCAACCATCAGCCCCTTATAAATCACCACCCGAAACTTAATCATCTTATCGACGAGGTGATCGCCCCCGAGAGCCCGATACCGTCCCATTACCACGACTCCCGAAGGAGCGCATTAGCGAATAGAAGACGCGAAGGGCTCCCGCGCTCTCGTCGAGGTGTTCGTTGTCGGTAGTGCCGAAGGTGATGCGAGCCGTGACGCGCGAGGCCGACGACTGAACGACAACGACGACGACGACGACGACGACGACTACGACGTCGTGGACCACTACCGCAGCCAAAGACGGTGACGTGGACCAGAGCCTCTGCGCGCACGTGGTTTCAGTTTCAACGCTCACAGGTTGGTGCAAGCTCCGGACGGACCCTCGTGGTGACTATCCGGGTACCTTCCCGCCAAGATTCGCGCCAACGCTCTAGGCGACAGTCTGAGCTTACTTACGTCATTGGCCAAGGCCTTCTGCTCGCGATTAGCAATTAGTGCTCTTGACGTTTCATTAACGACACTCATGTATTGATGGCGGGGATAGTGGGGGAGGGGGTGCGTGCGTGCGTGCATGCGTGTTTCACTCTCCATAGATTTCGCTCGATCGAGCCCGTTGATACTTAAGCTTGTGGCTTCGTTAGCGAGCCTACGCTTTTCCATCGCTAGGTTAGGGCCGTTGTATCGTTAATTTTCTGTAAAAGGACAGTTTTATCGAAGGATGAATCGAAAACGGGTGTGCGAAATACGAGCCCGTAGGCTTCCTACGTAAACAACAGCTCGATCTCTCGCTCCATCTCGCTCCATCTCGCTTCGTCTCGCTTCATCTCGCTTCATCTCGCTTCATCTCGTACCATCTCGCTCCATCTCGCTCCATCCATTGGCAAAGATATAATACTTAGAATTTTGCATGGCCGAGCGTGGTGATTATAAGCGATTCACGAGGTCTCGATGAAATCATCGTCATTAACGGTTTTAAGATTTATAAAGCACCAAGTACCAAGTTTCGAATGGGCGATTGATGAAAATTCGCGGACACTTATGCCGGTTGTAAATGGGAACGAAATAAAATGGAACGAGGTGGTGCAAGTGACTAGTCCGTACATTAAACGGATTTGGAAATTCGGGAAAGCAAGCCAGGTCCATGCAAACGATTATATTATTACGTTTAATAATTTTTAATATCCAGCCGCTATTACTTGTCATTAATACAGCCAGAGAAGTTGAGACATTGACGTTAATAAATTCGCGGTAGGTTAGGTATTATTTAAAAATACTCGTTCGGATTTGCTGTTAACTAGGGCTGCGGAAGGGGAAGGGGTGGTAGTGGCGGTAGTGGCGATAGTGGCGATGGCGGTGGTGGTGGTGGTAGTGGTGGTGGTGGTGGTTAAGAGAGGTAATCCAAAGTTTTTCAAAACTAATAGGGGCCATTTTTTGTGTGCGAATGTAGAAAAATGTCAATGCCCTACGCTTAATGCACGATATTAAAATATATGAAAAATATATATTAGACGTATCGTAGATAAAAGATTAATGTTGGACGTTGATGTTGCGAGGAGTTTGTGCTTAAAGTCCCTTTGCCAATCCCTTCTTGACCAGCGAACACGCGAGTGTAGTAGCCTCTGACTTGGAAAAGTGAATACGCGTGACCGACCGTCAAGAGCCTCGCATTTTATTGACAAAGCTGGTCTCGATTTCAATATGCATCTGTCTCTGTTTATTTCGCGTGCTATACATTCAGCGCCCCATCCGATATATCATCATAATGACAGTGCGATTAGACGTGCGTAAAACTTGGCGTAAGAAACTCGGCTCAGATGTTATTGACGGGGCGTAAGATAAGGACACGTGCTCTTACAAACGCGATAACGACTTTGTGCTCTTTTATTTTCAACTGTCTTTCTATCTCCTTTACTATCGGAATCGAGAGTGACTCGTAGAAAGAGAAGACGAATAAGAAGAAGAAGAAGAAGAAGAAGAAGAAGAAGAAGAAGAAGAAGAAGAAGAAGAAGAAGAAGAAGAAGAAGAAGAAGAAGAAGAAGAAGAAGAAGAAGAAGAAGAAGAAGAAGAAGAAGAAGAAGAAGAAGAAGAAGAAGAAGAAGAAGAAGAAGAAGAAGAAGAAGAAGAAGAAGAAGAAGAAGAAGAAGAAGAAGAAGAAGAAGAAGAAGAAGAAGAAGAAGAAGAAGAAGAAGAAGAAGAAGAAGAAGAAGAAGAAGAAGAAGAAGAAGAAGAAGAAGAAGAAGAAGAAGAAGAAGAAGAAGAAGAAGAAGAAGAAGAAGAAGAAGAAGAAGAAGAAGAAGAAGAAGAAGAAGAAGAAGAAGAAGAAGAAGAAGAAGAAGAAGAAGAAGAAGAAGAAGAAGAAGAAGAAGAAGAAGAAGAAGAAGAAGAAGAAGAAGAAGAAGAAGAAGAAGAAGAAGAAGAAGAAGAAGAAGAAGAAGAAGAAGAAGAAGAAGAAGAAGAAGAAGAAGAAGAAGAAGAAGAAGAAGAAGAAGAAGAAGAAGAAGAAGAAGAAGAAGAAGAAGAAGAAGAAGAAGAAGAAGAAGAAGAAGAAGAAGAAGAAGAAGAAGAAGAAGAAGAAGAAGAAGAAGAAGAAGAAGAAGAAGAAGAAGAAGAAGAAGAAGAAGAAGAAGAAGAAGAAGAAGAAGAAGAAGAAGAAGAAGAAGAAGAAGAAGAAGAAGAAGAAGAAGAAGAAGAAGAAGAAGAAGAAGAAGAAGAAGAAGAAGAAGAAGAAGAAGAAGAAGAAGAAGAGGAAGAAGAAAAATAGCGGTGGTCGATTGATGGTGCACGAATGAACGGCGAACGGATCGGGGATAGAGCGAGCTAGAGTGTTGATTGGCGGGACGACGTGAGGTAACGATTAGGGAAGGGGGACGGAAGAGGGAAAGA